GCGGTCGACCGCGAGAACGTCACGGTCGACCGCCACGCTGTCTTTTCCATCCTAACGGCTATTCTCTTGCCACCGTTGGTTGGGGCTTTTTGGTCTTTTGTTTAGGGTTTTTGGTTGAGGTCTTGGGAGGCTATAAATACCCCCATTGACCTCAGTTCTTAATCTATCCAAGAAGTTTTTAAAACAAGTTTTAAAAGAGTGTAAGTGTTGGTTTTAAGTTTGGTTTAAAGGCTGTTTGGTTTGTTTTTACAAAGAGGAGCTTACATCAGTTGTTGAGGAGTTCATCTTTAAAATTTCATCATCCTCTTTGTATTTATAGAGAAGTTTTCTAACTCTTTTTTCTAGCAATTTTATTATTGATTTTTATATTCTTATTATTTTTATTATTGATTTTCATATTCTTATTATTGCTAGTTTGCTATTTGAGTTAGATTTGATTTCACTCATTGTTTACACACACCCACATTAAGCTTATTGTATTTTCATACATAGTATATTTGGATTGGTGAGAGTTGTAACAATTGAGTGTGAGCTTTCATTGTGTTCTCATCCATATTAGAGAACAATCATTTGTTATATTGTGCTTATTATGAGGATCACTTGTAATACATTTGTACACTGAGAGAAGTGTGTGATGAGAGTCGGGGATCGTCCCAAGAGGAGTGGCGTCGGTTGACGAACCTAGAGAGAGGTTGTAACCGAGCACTTGAGGGAGACACGGCTAGGTCCAACACTTGTGAGGGTGTTGAGTGGGTTTACAAGAGTGAGTTGTAGAGTTTTCGGTTAGCTAGAAAACCGAGTGTGTAGAAGTTTCGGCTTCCAAACCGGTTGTGATAGTGGAGATCTCCTCGAGGTGAGGAGCGGAGACGTAGGTCAAGTGGTTAGACCGAACTCCGTAATCATATCGTTTGTTTGTGATTGTATTGGCGTACTTATTTTTATGTTCATATCTTGTATTGCATTTGTATATTGCTCATTGTTTATATTGTCCACTATCTACTTTAGTTTGCTTACCCTTGTGTTAGTTTACATATCCTTACATATATATTTTTATCATATAGGATATATCTCATTGTTCATATTGCTTATTCTTACTTGTAATATATTGTATATCTATCTTGCAAGAATATATTTATTAATTAGTTTTAATTGGCATTTAAATCGGATTAGATTAGCATAAGACCCTAATCATCCCCCCTCTAGGGTCTAACATATAGAACTATAGATATAGTGTTTTATTAGGCCATTATGTGTGAGTTGTTGGAGTTGTATTGTTATATTTGCACAATACAATATTATTAGACATCTATTTTTCAAATGCAACTCATTTGTAGTTCTTCATAGTTGCTAGCTGTAGAAATCGGTTCAAAATAAAAATAAAATTGAGATCAAACAACATTAACGAATTATAGAAAAGAGGCGAGGGTCGTGCTTAGCACGGGGTACATACTAGTATTTTAGAATACCGTCTCAAAACTATCTTTTCACTTCATTTTTTCTACAAACCAGAAAAAGAATTAAAATTTTAGATTTTTGAGGATTCTTTGGATTTGTTATCATGTCATAAATCTTAAAATCCAAAACACAAATCCAAGAGCCAAGCAGCCCCTAAGTTCCTTCCTTACACCTCCAGTTCTAAAGCATCACAATACACAGAATCTTTCTACAGAGAAAAGGTTCAACAAGATGATACAGGAACCACTCTAATATGGTGAAATATTCCTCTTAATATGGTGAAATATTCCTCTTATTGCATCTGCTTCGGAGTACTCGAGAAAACAAAAGGCCTTTGAGGTCATTACTAAAAACTTGAGAAGCTTTCACTAAACAAATCTTTGAATTAATTTTGGCTCTACAGCATATCTCATGCACCGAGAGATGAGTTAAATGCTGAAAAGTTTACATCTCAGCTCAATCTTCTAGACTCTGTAGTTGATGAGAATATGCATGCTGATCTTTTGTTGCATGATCCTAAACTTCATAATTAACAATGTGGATTTTCCTGCCCTAACTACATACAAAGTTTTGCGATGAACCCTTATTTGTCCATATAACTCAACAAGGTATTTGACACTAACCCAGAAGGTCAACAGTAGGCTCAGGACTTTTTCAGTAATACAGAATGCCTAAATTTTAATATGTGACCACCTGAATATGAATGCGATATATTGACTTGTTGTAAGGAATAAGGATACCTCTGTTAGTCTAGTCCTACGCTAAAAGCTTAGGTCCGAGCTTCTAGTCTTGCAAATTACAACATACAAATGGTTTCAGTTAATTTGCTTCAATTGTATCATTGATAGATCAATGAGAATAGCATAAAGTTCAACTGTTAACATTTGAGACAGATCACAAATCATTGTAGGAGGAAAGTAATGACCAAGTATGTCGTGCTTTGAAATTTTAGAGGGGTTATATAAGGCAGATTATAATTCACAGTATGAATGCAGGTTAAAGGATGCTTCATAATGCAAATTTCATGGTATTAAAATTAACTTCCTGGTGGGTATGTGTTTCATTGAAACAGCATCACTAAATAACACCATTATAAAGATTTTTGACAAGTGAAGAAAATCAATGACAAGAACTTTTATAAGTTAACTAATATGTGTAGATCTAATATAAATAATTTAACCATCCTGATACCAGTTCATAACGCATTTAAGTAAAATGATGCAACATAGAAAAACAATACACTCACCTGTTCATGACCCCGAATTTTCATGAACCCTCGCAGTAACTCCCGTTTATAATGGCAGTCTCCACTAAGATGGTTAGCTCTAATCTGAATCAAAAGATGAATAAATTGTTCAAGCCTGAAAGACCTTTAACGGCAAAAAAAAGCCACTGGAACCAGCACATAATGTCAAAAAAATTTATCAATAGGCCTAGGTGCTGCAGTTGCTGCTGGATATATTTAATGTCTATTAAAATATTAAGCATTTAGAAGTTATGTATTACCTCAGAGCAAGCATGATGAGCACAATTTTTCCAGTCCATGTTCTTTGCACGACAATCATCATAAGCATGTACCAGCTCGTGAATTAGAACTTGGTTTATCTCATCTTGGTAAGTCATGTGATTACAACACACCGATATCTGGAATAATAAGACAGCAGGGCTAAACATCGAGGTACAAGTATAAAAGAAAGGATTAAAAAAGATGATGTAGGTTAGAACAAATCATTACTATAATCAAGGGTAATCATCTGTAGCACAATTAGTAAGCCAACTGATAATATCTGGTTATGTTATTTAAAACAAAATGAGAAGATAAATGATTAGATGTCGGGAACGTGGGACACTATAGCGAACCACCGCATGGGTTCAATTGCCCTGGAATCACGGTGGAACAGGACCTGATTCACCAACTCGGGCAACCCGATTTGAAATTCAAATTAGTTAAAAGTTGAAAAGTAACTCTATATCAAAAGCATAAACAACAAAAAACGAAAGAAATTAAGCAAACAGAGTATGGATACATAAGTTGCAACATGATTCTCAAGGTTCATTTACCATTACTGATATCAACTAGTCTATTTCCTAAACTTGACTCTTGCAAAACGGTGATTCCTACAATTAAGAACCAAACCTAAACCGTACCATGTTCCCTAGCGTACCGTATAAGCCTACCCCCCACCCCCCAGGCGCTCTCGTAACCATTCCTAATTAGTGGCGTATCATGCTCCCTTTTCCATCCTGTGAACCGGAACGAATGGGTTTCCATGCAACCATGGTGTCTTACAAGTTAGCTCTGTGATGTTCTGAACTTTGAAGGTAGATGCAACTCCCACTACAAAACATATTTTCTTCTTCATAACATATCTTTGTAATTAATATTTTCAGTGTATGATGTGAAACTTGTTCAATATTATTTGACCATATCCTCAGTGCACCTGCAGGTACTCTAGAGGGTTTCCTAATGACCAACAACAACATAGAAGAAAGAAACTTTCCAAAGGGTTGCCTCCCAACCATGTAACAGTATAACAGGCTTTGGTAAAAGGTGCTAATGGAGATGGAAGCAACATGTATTGTGACAGCTCCTTGCCTCCAAGCAGAGACAAAGATCTCACATCAGCTAGACTATCCAACTCCGCATGCATCTAACTTGAGAATAACTTCACAAAAAGACTCAATAACCTAAATTTCGTTCATATGGAAAGGTGTCACAGGTTTGCAGCTCAACTCTGCATGAATCTTGGATCTGAGGTTATCACTTGATCAAGTGAGCAATAAGGGTGCCAAACTAGGAGAAGAAATAAGATTGTAGTTTATGGAACAAAACAACTAGAAATATGCCAAGACAAACATGGACTAAGACAATTGAAACGGGCATTCAAGTTGTTAATTTATCAAAGGATAACTCTTGACAAAACTGGATGGAAAAAGAATATTCAAATGGCGACCAAAAAATTTGAGAAATTTGGGATGAAGGCTTTTTTTTTCTTGTTCTTGCTCTTGTTTGTTGTAGAAGCAGAAGAAGACATTTGATGGTTATTCAACGCTGAATTTTTCCAACCCATTTCTGGGGTATAAAATTCATTGAATCATTCATGATTGAGTGTTATTGTTGGTTTTGATGCATCCTAAGTTTTGTGCACCCATGAATTTTTGGTTTCTTTTTGCTCACTTGAGTAGGTCTTCAAAATTTTCCTCATAATTTTCCTCATAATTTTGGACCAAGAGATGCATTTCCTACAAGGGTCTGTTTGTTTGCCTAAAAAAAGTAGGAAATCAAAGAAATGGAAAACTATTTCTAAGAATAATTGTTTTGGGAGTGTTTGGTTTGCTAAAAAAAAGAAGGAAATCAAAGAAATAAAGATGAGATGAGATGAGTTGTCACCTTATTAGAGGATGATGTGAGTGATTTTCTAAGAAAACCTGTTTTGATGTTATTTGGGTGGCGAAAAAAATAAGGAAATGAATTATAAGAAACTTATTTCTTGTAATAGGTTGTTTTCTTTTGTTTGGTTCTGAAATGAATTATAAGAAACTTATTTCTTGTAATAGGTTGTTTTCTTTTGTTTGGTTCATTCTTAAAAATAAGAAAATAGATGAGATGAGATGAGATGAGTTGTCATTATATTATTGGATGATGTGACCCACACTTAAGGAAATTGTTTTCCTAGCTTTTTGAAAGGAAATTACTGGAAATGAAATGTTAATGAGATGAGATGAGTTATCACCATATTATTAGATGATGTGAGTGATTTGAAATGATGAGATGAGATGAGTTGAGTGATGTTGTGGATAAAAATAATATTTTATTAGATGTGGTGGATGAGTTGTTGGATAAAAATAATATTTTATTAGATGTTATGGGTGGGTTTTAGGGATGGAAATGGATGAAATTATACTTTTTAAGTTTTCTTGGTTTTCAATTCTATTTTTTGGTTTTTCAGGAAATAACCTGAACAGGCCCCAAGAAGAAAACTACCAAATGGCATTAAAAAGTACCATGATTCAGATATAATACCGCAATTCTCAAAGTCCAAACATGTGATAGTACCGCAGTGCATCTAAAAGGCACAAAGTTTTGATGACAAGTTGTGACACAATTATATTCATATACCTATATACATGAGCAATCAAAGCTTATTATCTTGTGAGTCTGGTCTTTAAAACAGTCATTTTCTATGCTCCAACTAGCATTGTTCTGACTGCATCATCGACGTTTTATATTTAGTTGACAAATAATGCATAGGATCCAGATTACTGTTGTTACTATCAATGTTTTAAATGTCGGTGGCCATGTTGGACATGGCGGCTGACATATTGGTTCGAGCGGCCGGCGTCACGACATTGTGGTTTTAAAGTCGCATATCGTTTTCATTTTCATGTCGGGTATATCGGGGAAATTGTAGCAATATCAACTGATACTTCAGCCTTGAAATATCAGCCAAGTTTTTTTTTTTTTTTTGAACTTACGAGTTTGAGTTTTTTACCTGAAACCCAAACCCGATAACCTTTGTTATGTTTCCAGCATGACAAAAATTGGCCCTGATAGCAAAATAGGGCAAAAACGAGTTCTCTCTCTCCTTCTCTCTCTCTCTCTCAATCCTTCGACATTGGAGATATCTCTATCGTTCCTTTGACATTGAAGCTCCAAATCACCACTGATTTTGACATCAAACCTGCAAATCACCACCGATTTAGGGTTCGGGTATGTCTCTATCTCTTTCTCTCTCTTGTTCTATTTCTTTCTCGTTATCTCTTTTGTTCTCTCTTTATCTCTAACAATAACAGCGAAAAGATCATGTTGTTGCTGCCATTGATGATGTTGTTGTTGCTGCTTTTTTGGGGGCAAAACTGTTGTTTGGAACCTGCTATTACTGCTGGTTATTATTGCAGGATCTTATTATTCATTGTTAATGATTCTTTATTTCTCCGTCACCTCAGATTGTGCAAAAGGAGAGTTTTGAGGGGCGAAGCTTCAAACTCAGAATTTTTGTTTCTCGACCCGAACCCAACCCGAACTCATATATAAAAATCTCTTACCTTTCTCTCGCCTCTCTCTCTGACTCCAGTCCTAACCCAAAATCTAGCCACCGCCTCTCTCTCCCCCTCTCACCTCCCCCGGCGACCACCTCCAACGACCTCATCTCCAGCATCAAGCCTCTCCGTTGCCACCTCCATTAGAGGCTAAAACCCTAGTCGACACCTCACTCTCCCCCACCTCTCTCTCACCTCCTCCGGCGACCACCTCCAGCAAGCTCCATCTCTAACAACAACACCACCTCCGGTTGAGCTCCATCTCACGGTCTCACCTTCTCACGGGCTCACCTTCTCCAACACTATATCACCAAATCTCCGGCTATCTCTAAAGCTCTCCACCACCACCACCATCATAATTTTTTTGTTGGGCTTGGTCTGCAACAGAGAGAAAAAGGTAATTTGGCTAAATCCTAAATATTTTACAAGCTCATTTATTTCAAAGTCATTTTAAAATCAAATGCTTGTTACATAGGGGTTCAAATAACCCTAAATATATCTAAATTTGACCACTATTTGACTTTGCACTATATAGCGCTATTCTACCACAATAACCCCAAACAGCCTTAGCGGTATCTTGGCGCGACGCGACGCTATCCACTATCAATAACGTTGTTGTGCATCTGTACCTTGACGAGGGTATAGTCCATATCTTGACAACATACGTTTCATAAACTCTCAATAATGGAGAACTACATTTGCCAATTTTTGCTCGTAAAAGCGAGGTCAATTATCTTAACTGTAAAATGAGCATCAAATGACAACTCAAATAGACTGTACCAGGATCATGTAGTAAAATTGTTCAGCAGTATGAGAATTCATTATAACTTTGTTGCTCCATCTATTCTCAAGAATCTAATAAATATCCTAAAATGGAACTTATAATGAGACTCCACACAAAAGTAAAATACTAGTGGTACATGAAGAAGAGATGATAACAATTCTTCATAAGCATATCCTTATACTTATATCATACTGGTTTTCTAGTATTAGTTATGAATATGGATAAGGATATTTTAGAATCTACAGATCATAATAATGTATTAATGTGTGTAAAATGAAACAGGTTTGTTTTCTTTAACATACATGAAAGAGACAAGCTTTCAAAGGATGTGACTTTATTTTCAATCTTACATACAATGCCAATGTTATATGATAGCTTTATATTCAGTAATGATAACATACATATTTTAGATGAGATTTGACACGGCCACATTTTTTAGAGCGGTAACACATTCTTCTACAATTAATACGGAATATCTTATTGCTTCTAACCCAACAACCTACGAAGAGGTTAATGTCTTTCAAGAAAAGATTGTGCCCTCACCTCTAATTTATCTACACGTTTTGAAGATTCTCGATACCTATATCTATGATATGTTAAATTGGATAGGATTGTACTTGCTACTGTTAGGTCATTGGGAATCCCTCTACATGGTTGTCATTCGCTGCATGAATGGCAAGTTATCACTGTCCTACTATTGTTTTGTATTTATCTTAAAACCATAATGATAACGTATTATGCATCTACCCAAGAAACACATAGGAAATTGTTATTTTTTAGTTTTCCAAAAAAAATTATGTTAGTGGGTGTTCATTTGGAATAGATATATGTCAAATTATAATATTATCAAAATGTGTATGTAATACTAAATCTCGTGCATCACACCGGTAACAACTAGCTCTCAATAAAAGTAGAACCCAACCAACATTTCCAAAGTAAAGCCCTATGAAAATGAGATAATCATCAACCTATGATGAAGTTATAGTAACGTTTTGATTTTTAATTAGAATGAATAAACTACCAAGCTAAACAGATTTCCATACCCCATTTCCACTAGCGTATCCACCAGCATATGCCTGAGTCTTGCAATTGGCGGCCAAAATGAGGCGAACCCAAAAAGGGCACCCGGCCTTCTCCATGTGCTCCCTCAAGAACTTCACCGTTGGATCTGAAACACAAACAAACAAATAAAAATCCAAAACCCATCAACAAAAATCGAGGGGAAAAAAAGTAATATTACGTTTGAGGCTCTTGCTGATCCTCTGCATGCACTCTTTTTGAGACATTCCAGTATTTGAGTTCTCCTTCTCCATGCCTATGCTTGAAGACAGCGGCGGACCGTCTGCTTCTTCCATCGCCGCCCTTAACTTTGACGGCGCTCTTCGTCTTTTTGAAGTTGCAGTCTCTCCCCGTCTCCTCCCTCTGCGCTGTGATTTTGGACAATTGCGTCTCGGATTTAGGGGAAGTTGGATGCAGGTAACGGGTATTGAATGGGTCGGGTATAACTTAACAAAATAACACTCACCGGGTTCCCGAACCTTTTTTTTTTTTAATAACCTTGTTCGGAATTGAATCTAAGATAATGAGAGTCATATTGGAAATTCTCAACCATTCATATCACTCACAATGGATGTCGGAATTGTTGAAAATATATGTCTCTTGGATTTCTCTATTTCAAATAGAATTTTAAAAATAGTCGTCGAATAATTTGATTACTCTTAGACTATTATTTCTTTGAAAAAACAGAAATTCAAATTCTAAATTTTGATTATAAAAACAACCATGTTCACATTTTAAAATGAGAAAAATTTTGACGTGTCATCAATTAAAGAGCCAAATTAGATGATGACTTGCCATTTCAGGGTTCAAATGGTCCGAATGGTCTAAGAAATTGCCAAGTGACATTTCAAGGTATTACTTTAGTATGTTAGATAGATTTGAGAGAACTTTTTCCGATTTTTTTTAGGATTTTGAGATTTCACTTTATATATGTCAATGGATGAAATAAATTTACAATCTAAATTTATGGACAAATCTATATATTTTGTTCTATAGGGCAGTTATTATAGAATTAACGACGTGTCTTTTAATTATCACATTTTATCATAGCTACTTTGTGTATTTTCCAACATAGACTTGTTTTCTTTCATTATCAACAAGTGTTATGCCTATGCCCCACGGGTGGGGTCTGATTTCTTTGATTTATATGCTTGATTTCTTAGTTCTTTAGGGGCGTTATTGGTTGAGTATTGTTGATTTGCACTCGTATTTTTTTCTAGGATTTCAATTTAGAGTGTTATTGGTTTAAGACTAGGATCTAGATCTGAATTTAAGATTTTATTAGTTTAGGACTAGAATTTGATTCTAAATTTAACATGTTATTGGTTTAGGACTATGATCTGAATTTAAATTTTAGGTATCATTGTCAGTCTAGAATTATTATTTGGACTAGAATTTTAAAATCCACCCTTTTCTAAATATATGTGTGTGTACGTGCATGTACGTGCGTGTGTATTTATGCATATATGTGGGTGCGTGAGTGCATATGCATGCGTGTGTGTGTGTATATATATATATAAAGTGGTTTATAATCATGGCTTACAATACAAAAATAAACATGTTGTCCTTTAAATTATGTCAATAGTATTCGGAATATAACACATGATGAAAAGAGACATTTCGAATTTGAAATTCAAACTCAGATAACCTAAGCTTATTTCTTCTTATAAAGGAAATACAAAATACAGACGTGAATGGCTTTTACTTTAAAATTTAAAACTTAAAATTATATAGCTTTAACACTAATCTGTCCTTTATTACATCCTTCTCTTTTTAGAATATTCTAAATTTTAAAAAAAAAGAACATCTTTTACTAAGAGAATAAGCATGTGGAAAGTTCTTATTTTAAAATTTCAAATTTAAAATTACGAAGGGACACGTGCCAGGTTTTTTTTTTTTGGATATACGACTAATAGTAAACAACAAATATCTTTTTATATATAAAGGAGAGATTGAAACTACTTCATTTAATTCTCACATTTTATCATAGTTGCATTATATATTTTCTATCTTAGACTTGTTTTCTTTAATTATGAATGCGCTGCCATTTTTCAACAACCATCAAAATAAAGATTATAAATTTCATAACTATTTACATGTACTATTCTGAATAAAAGCATATATAATTTGAGTATATCACTCAAAAGGAAAAAAAATACCAGTCCAAAACTAAAACCATATGTATTATTTATTAACCAATAATCTTAGGGATGAAAAAATATAACTTTAAATAGAAAAAATTTAAAAAAAAAATCTAAGCTTCAAATTAAGAAAATCATATTCACTTTTAGAGCTACAGAAAGAGACAGTTTTATTATGTTCTTAGCTATTAATTTGCCTGCTACAGTACATTTTTTAACAACCATCAAAATAAGTATTAAAATTTTCATAACTATTTACATGTACTATTCTGAATAAAAGCATATGTATTTTGAGTATATCAGTCAAAAGAAAACAATACCAGTCCAAAACTAAAACCATATGTGTTATTTATTAGCCAAGGATCTTAGGGATGAAAAAGCATAACTTTAAATAGAAAAATTCAAAAAAGAAATCCAAACTTCAAATTAAGAAAATCATATTCGTGTTTAGAGGTACAAAAGAAGATAGTTTTATTCTGTTCTTAGCTGTTAATGTGCCTCTTATTTTATGGCATTAGCAAAAACTTGATCTATTATTATAAACATGGTAGATTGTAATGGCATTTTAGGGATGAACATGGTTGTTTGTCAGAATTAAATTTGAAATTTGGGTTTCTAAAAGATTAGTGTTTTTATGATATAAGACATATGAATCTTCTTTATTCATACAGTAGCCCCACAAAATTTATTATTTGTTAATAAGACCATATTCCTCTAAAGTTATTTTAGAAAGACATCATGATTGGGTTCCCATCAAACGCTATACTTAGGGTGGTTACCTCTTAGCTGTACATTGTAGATTGTAATGGCCCTTAGGGACTGTTGATGTCAGTTATGGAACATGGGTTTAGTTAGGGGTTAGTGTTGGGTTAGAGTCATCAAGCCTCTTTAGATGTCCAGTTCTGGAGCCTGACGTTCTTTCATGCACATGAAAAACTCGTGAGGGGCTGGAGTAGGGTTCTCTAGTTATTCCTCTGATGATCAAGTTAGTGTTTGAACTTGAGTGGAAAAATATAAGATAAGTGATAAGATAAATTCAGAGTGGTCTACAGTTGAATAAGTCACCTCATGCAGCGTAACTTCCTTTTAATAGTAGATCAGAAAAGCAGAGAGGTAACTTTGGCCTAGTACAGACAGACAACTAACTCGGCATATGTATCTACAGGTGTCGGTTGCTGAAGTGGGTAAGTCATATTAGACCCTAATGCCACTAGGAAGGAACCCTAGAGGGGGGTTGAATAGGGTTTATGCTAATCTAATCCGATTTAATACCAATTAAAAACATATTAACAAATTATCCTAGCAAATTAGATATACAACAATTATATACAAGGATAAGAATATAAACAAGGGTAAAGAAAATAGTGGACAATATAAACAAAGAGGCAATGGCTAAACAAGATGAACAAAAAGAGTACGCCAATGCAAACTCAAACAAACAATATGATCACAGAGTTCGGACCTTCCGTCCTACGTCTCTACTCCCCACTCCCGAGAAGAAATCCACTATCACACCAGGTTTTCGACGCTCACCCAAAAATATTTACACCTCACACTCGGTTTTCTAGCTCACCGAAAACTTTACAATCAACACTCTTGCAATCACACTCTATACTCTCTAAGTGTTGGTCTCTAGCCCGTGTCTCCCTCAAGTGCTCAGATTTACAACCTCTCCCTAGGCTTTACTACCGACGTCACTCCTCTTGGGACAATCACGTCTCTCACCACACACTCCTCTTGGTGTACAAGTGTATTACAAAGTGTGTTGTGCGCAGCAGAAATTTCGGCAGCACCTCTGGTGCACAACAAGATAGTAAGATCACAACTAAATCCATGTTTCACAAAGGAAACAAGAACTGAAAGTAATATATCTCAACAAAGTGGTCTTTCTCTCATCAGTTCTAGGACTGACTTGTCGAGGGAACCTAACAAGTTATTACAAATCACAGTAAGACAAACAAATTTTACATGGTTCGGAAAGTTGCCTACGTCCATGAGGCAAGGAGGTGGGAGATCTACTGTTAGAGAGAAGGAGAATACAAACACACAAAGTCTCACAAATAAAACCCTCAAACAAGCTCTCAATTTCTCTCTCAAAAAAAATGCTCAAACCCTCTCAAAGTCGACGTTTTTTCTTCACCAAGAACAGCCGAATAAAAATCTCTGCTATTTTCCCTTCCAAGCCACTTTTTCGCCCTTGCTCGCACGAAACCCTAGGAGAAAGATGTTCCTATTTATAGCTGGCCCGCACGCGTTGAAAAAACGTGTTCAATTCAACGCGTCTATCAGAAGACGCGTCGTGGGGTGTAGCACCCACGCTCCTATGAGAAAACACGTCTCGTGGGGTGTGGCCCCCACGCCCACGTTCATAATTCTCCATATCGGTGAAGTTTCTCAAAACTGAGCCAACACCAAACAACCAAATGTCTCACTTGTTATGTCCAGTACGAAGTAGAATAAATTCCATGACAACGGACTCAATCCACAACAAGTCGGGAACCCAAATGAGAGTCCAACAATCTTCCCCATCAAAATCAACAAATCCAACCGGCTACATCAAACATGACTGCCTACGTATCCTCTTGCCCAAGGAATCAAGCCGAACGTAGTTCACCCAAATGGCCTCCAAAGACCTCAACATCGAAGAATGTTCAAAAGATCCAAACAATGACCAAACTTAACACCTGAAACAACTTTGATCAACATATCCGTAGGGTTGTCATTTGTGTGGATCTTCTCCAACATTACATCTCATTCATCCAAGACATCACGGTAGGTGTAAATTTTGATCTCCCGAAAACAGGAAACTTTGTTTGTATTGATAAGAACAGTTTATTACAAACTAATAATCAAATGTTTATAACAGAAGCGGAGGGAATGCCCTCCTTGTTTAACGTGGGTTCCTCGGTGGCGATAGGACGCCTCGCTCGGTGCTCGTACCGAGTCTTCTTCCCTTGGACGATCCGATCGAAGTTACTGTCGGAGCTTCAGTTCTCAAATGAGGGAGCCTTTGGCAAAAGTCCAGGTTCAACCTTTGGGAGATTAGCCAGTAGAATATGCAACAACCAATCCTCCCTTCATGCTGGCTGAAGATGGGTTTTAATAGGCAAGAGATGGCATGGGCCTGTTCGCGGGAAAAATTGCACTCTTCGATTCCATTGATTCCTTTGTTAACAGTTTATCGGTTACAAAAGATCCGGTCTTTTTATAAGATCCGGTTACAACGAGATCAAAAAGAAATAAAAATTACAACTT